GAGGTTGTACATTCATATTTGTTCCGCTGTTAGTTTTGGTTACTTATTTAATTATAAAAAAAATGGCTCCAAAAATGTACTACATTGAAATCGGCTTACCTAGTCTTAGAGACTAGGTGCCATCACGACACCTGTGGTGGGATTTTGAGTCTTGACATCTTACTACGCAACTCTAGATAACATAGACCAGCAAACCCTGTGCCAGGATATTACAAACCTTGAAATCAAAAATGTTGTAGATTCTTTTAAACCCCATAAAGCACTAGGGCGGATGGTTTGCACCTTTTTTTCTACCAAAAGTTTTGGAATGAAACTAAGGAGAAACTAATTAAATTATGCAAAGACACTTTTATGAGAAAAGATGACTGAAGGCATGAATAGTATAAATATTTGCCTAATTTCAAAATACTAAAATGCTGAAACTATTAAGCAATATAGCCCCATTAGTTTGTGCAACACTGCCTATAAGGTAGTAACAAAAATTATTGTTAATAGAATTAAGCCCCTTCTGTCCAAAATAATCCATCCAACACAAACTAGCTTCATGAAGGGTAGGAGGTCTTCAGAAATGCTATTATTGTTCACGAGATTCTAAACCACTTTAAAAACTTAAAAGGCAAAAAAGGAAAAATGTTGATTAAAATAGACTTAGAAAAGGCCTTTGACAAAGTAGAATGGTCTTTTATAAAATACTCATTAACCTCCCTAAAATTTTCTCAAGACCTAATTGATCTAATCATGTCCTATATCTCTACTACGTCTACCTCTATCCTTATTAAGGGATCTAACACAGAACCTTTTAAGCCATCTAGAGGTATTTTTCAAGGAGAGCCTTTATCCCCCTACATATTCATCATTTGCTTAGAAATGCTTTTAAGACTAATTCTTCATGAAATTGACTGTTGTAGGTGGGACCCAATCAAAATCTCTCCTAAAAGCCCCCTCTATCTCACCTTTTCTTTGCAGATGATCTAATTCTCCTAGTAGACGCCAACCAAAAGAGTTGTAACTCCAATATAGATACCCTCAATAAATTATGCATACATTCCGGCCAATCTATCAACTTCAATAAATCAAGACTAATCTTGTCAGAAATTACTCCCTTGAATATGAGAATTGACTTTAGCAACTGCCTATCAATAAGCCACATTAGAGAATCCAGTAAGTACCTAGGATTCCCCATAGGCTACTCTAATCCCTAAAAAAAAGACTTACAATATATAATTGACCGATTAAATAATAAACTTAAGGGATGGAAAATAAATCTCCTTAACATAGCTGGGAGGACTATCCTCATTAAATCAACATTAGTCGCAATTTCCAACCATGTTATGCAAATCTATAGCCTTCCCCAAGCTACTATTAAGAACATTGATAGTATCCAAAGGAACTTCCTATGCGGAAGAACCTTAGAGAAAAGGAAGTGCCACCTGATAAATTGGGGCACAACTACCAAACCAAAACAGGAAGGTGGTATGGGATGATATAAATCAAAATGGAAGAACCAGCGCTAGTTTAGCTTGGAGATACAAAAAAGATCACGAATCTCTATGGAGTAAGGAACTTCACAACAAGTATAATAGTGGAAACTCCCATCAAAACTGAAATCTCCAAGATAAATATGGCTCCCATATCTGAAAAAGCATCGTATGAGGCACAAATATTTGTAAACGTGGCATTCACTGGGAAGTTGGGGATGGCCAGACTATAAAGATCTGGCAGGATGCCTGGCTGGGCAACAAGAAAACCTTAGAATCCTTAATCCACTGCCCTTAATGAATCATGAACAACATCAACCACTGTCAGATATCATTGAAAACAATATGTTCAATACTGCTAACATATCCTTTCAGCTACCAAATGATGTTAAGAACAAAATAACTAGCACCTATATCAAGTAATTCCAACCGGTTGCCGACAATTACAAATGGGGCAAAGTCACTAATGGGATCTTTACAATTAAAACATCTTATGAAAATGCTCTCCAACAAGAGGGAAGAGGCGAGAGACATCAGAGACTATAAATGACCATGGAAAATCAAAACCCTAAACAAAATTAAATTCTTCCTATAGACGACAATTCATAATAGACTTCCTACATCACAAATGTTATTCAACAGAAACATACGTAACTCTCCAACTTGTAACATTTGCACCACTACAAATGAAAATATGACACACATATTCTTTAGGTGTGCGTATTCAAAAACCATTTGGAAGCAGATAGGTTTCAACCTTTTTCCTCCTCCAGAAACGTCAGATCACTATGCTATGCATAGTTGGCTAAAAAACCAATGCAGTTCCAAGATTAGATTCAATGACTACCTCAGCTGGCCTGACATCCTCCCCTTTATCCTCTGACACATTTGGCTGCATAGAAATAAGAGTTTTCAACAATAGTGGTAAGCCTCTACTATTAAAAATATAGTAAACAAANGGAAACACTCAAACTACTGCATGGACTGAAACTATCTCTAGATAACAACTTTCTACACTAATCATTAAAACGGATTGCAAGGAACTCATAAATTTACTTACTAACAAAAATTGCTCCTATAATCTAATTGTTGATTGCATATGCCTATTGAGTAAAGCTGGTGATCCGCCATTACAATATGTATTCAAAGAAGCTAATCAAGCGGCTGACCTAATGGCGAAGAATGGAAGTAGTCTAGCAGTTTTTGGGATCTTAATACCTATCTATTTCCACCTACTTTTGTTATTTCTATTTTGGAAAGGGACAAGTTAGGAACTATGTGTCCTAGAACAATTCTCGTATGTAATGACTCCTAGTATGTTTTAATATATGTCTTTATTACCCCAAAAAAACACTGGAAACAATAATCACATATGCATAGAAATAAATGGTCTTTTCATTAATAAAGAAAAAAACTCAAAATTCTCAACTACTAAATTATTACTCCCTCCTATTTAATTTAGATGACACGCTTTTCTTATTAGTTCGTTCCAAAAAGAAGGATACATTTCTATAATTGAAAATAATTCAACTTTAAACTTTTATTTTACCTATTTTACCTTTAATGAGAAACTTTTATAACCAACCACACAAATGTCTTGGCCCCGCAAAATTTTTCCTCCTTAAGCTTTTACGACTACAAGTTTCAAAAGTTTTCCTCTTTTCTCTGAAATTCTGTGTCGAGTCAAACTAATTCATCTAAATTGAAACGGAGATAATCATTGCTACTAGTGACCCAAACAAAAGTAGGGAAAAAAAGGAAAAATAGACACCGACACATGAGGAACCAAATTCATGTAGTATAGGTAATTATATTTCTGACTCATTGCCAATTAACGTAATCACACAATAATAAGCTTCATGTTATGTTCATTGTTGCTTTAGTATTTTCTTTCTTCTCTTATGAGAAAAATTAAAAATTCATTCGAGTATTTTTCCAACCTCGCTCCTCGGCTATTGTTGATTCGATTACCTTTTCTCGAGCTCTTTTCTACATCTTAACTTTTATTTTAAAAAAAAAAATAGAAAACAAAATGGCAAACAAACACATTTAGAGGATGAAGGGCAAAAAATCAAATGTTTCTTGGAGAAAATAGTGAGTGCTATACAACAAATTTTCCCCATACCGTTTCGTTTTATTCGAGTACCTTCAGTTTATTGTACATCTTTTTTAAATTGTTGATTTGAAAATGACACTCATTCATTCATTAATTTTGGAGAAACCCAAGATAGCGATATGCAAGAAACTAAAGCACAAAATGAGGCATATTCCTACTTGCATTCCTTGAAAAGTTATACTTATTTATTTTAAAGTATGAGTTTAAAAAAACAAAAACAAACAAATATATATATATATATATATATATATATATATATATATATATATATATATATATATATATATATATATATATATGTCGATATGGCCCTGTAAAAGTGATGTTCTTTTGTTCCTTATGATCATCTACTAATTAGCTGCCGTTTTTCAGCATTAACTGACGCAAAGGACTATCCTTTTAGCATTTTCTTTTAGCCGACATGAACATGATAAAAATTTACTCACATTCCATGTTTATATCAAATTTTATTTATTTATTAAAATTAAGTGATAAGTTGAGGTGCAAATGTATATTAGTAGTAATTAACAATTGATTAATAGTAACGGTATAAGTGAAGATGCACACCAAGTATTACTAGTAAGTTTTTGTTTTCCCATTAATAGTGTTGGAAGAAATTTTAATACTCTTGTCGTGCATTAAAAAAATGCTATGCTTTGGACATCCATTGTCAACTGTACCATATGCGAATGGACAAACAATGTTGCTTAACTTAAAGGATGAAAGCTAGTCTGCTTTATTCTACTTGCCCAAGAAACCTAAGTTAACGTTAATTTGTTCATAAGCTTTTGTACTTCACAATTAAGTCATTGTCCTTGATTCGGCAGGATTTGAGCGTTATGGGGTTCGAGTTCGAGATTCTACCATAGTCTATTTGATTTACAAGGGTCGACATTACATGTGTACTTCTTTTGTGGATTTTTTAACACACATACAAGATCCGGGCTAAAAATACAGTTCTTTTCTTTTCCAATATGTACAGGATCCAACTCATTCATACGACAGAAGTCTTAAAATTAACACATAATTGTATAAGATGAAATACCAGTTGCATAAAACTTTGGACTTGTAGATGAAACTAAAGATTTAAGTTCAATACTTTCTTCAGTATACTTTGCGCTTCAATGTCACATGGATTGAAAGTATAAAAGACGACTACATTCCAGCTTGTAAGAGACTTAGAATCTGAGTTGGGTACTCTTAGCTGGAACTTCTGTAATTATCACAATATGAAGACAGAAATGAGAATCCTTCATTTGAAGTGATCAACTTAGTAAACTTATCTATTCCAAACTAGGTGCCTCTTCAGTTGGATTTGACTCGAATACATCCGAGTTAGAAGCCTCTGGTTCTTCAAGAAGTTCTCGTGATTGAATTGCTTCCTTGTACACAGGAGTAGCCTTGAAATCTGTTGCTCCATCGTTATATGTGGCCACAGCAATACCACATGCAATTAGCTGCCAAGAAAAGATGCCAAATTCAAACTGGTAAGAATCCTCTCAAAGGAAATTTAGAAGACCACACATTAAAGAAAATGAAAGGATGCACAAGTAGAACACAAATATAAGTTCTCTTTACACACAATGGCTTTTGTTATCCACTGCGTGCTCCTTCACCTAACGGAATACAGACTTGCGAGTTTTTGCCAGACAGATGAAAATAACTAGGAAACCTGCTACTACAATTTTCTCTTTGACTTGTTTTCCAGGGGGATGTGTGGGGCATTTGCAATTTAGAGTTAGGAAGGATATAATTAGAACGTCTCAGGATACTTCTAAAAGACTATCAAAATGTACACATTGTAATGCCATAATATGGTCATGAACCCAAGTGAGACACCCTAACAACTAAAATAGAGATATATGGTTGGTTCCCGTACCATCAACATATAATATATTCATCTAGTAATAGCTTGAACGATGTTCATTGATGGTTTTTAACGGGCAGAAATACAACATCAGTTCTGATAAATCAAGGTCACAACTCTCATAAATTAGCGGGAAGGATGTTTTGCAGAACCTTTGTTGAAAAATTCCACCCCAATAATACTCCTATCTATGGAAACAATAGGAGCACTTTGCATTCTCACCAACCCTTTTGTCCCAGCAATTTCATAATTAGCTCAACTTTCTCAGTTAGGATTCATCGATGATCATTCCTTTTCCTTACTAACAACACCTAAAATTGAAGAATAAGATCACTTAATGAACATTTGCCCAATCCAGCTCCAATCCTAATATTCTCCTCCTCTTTGAGCACATTAATGGCATTCAACGACAGTACTGTTTTATGGTCCCTAAGGAAGCAATTTCTGTCACATATAGTCCTTAGTTAGAGATCCGACCCAAGACACTTAACGTATCATCTAAACGTGGGGTGATTGCTGAATGCTTTCCCTAATAGTAAAAAGTTTTCTCAAGACATAACATACTGTAAAAGGTGTTTTGTAGTTCCATTTTCCCATTTCCCTGGTTATGATAGGCAAAATTTACCTTCTATCATTTTCTTTCATCCGTATAAATCAATTATATTAGACTAGTAGCACCAAAGATTCAAGAAAATAAGCATGTTACACATTATGGCAAACAGGCATGGGCATTGTCTAGATGAGATTCTAATATCAAACTCCATCCTAATATCTAAATATTAATTGACATGGCTCATCATTTTGCTTCTCTTCCTTTGACAGCGGAGAAACAACTGTTGCTGGTAACCCAAACTAGTCAAAAATAGCCCCAAAAACAAACAACAGATTTATTTTATAACTTTCATAAAAGCAGCAAGTCGCTATGGTTACCACACAATCTAATTAAAATAAACCAATAAAGCTGGATAAACTAACTAGGCAATCAAGATAAAAATAGTGGTGGCTTCACCTGGTCAATGTAATTTTTCAGCTTTCACTAACTCCCCCCTTTCATGTCATGAACTCGGCTACTTATACACAACTAATAAAGTTGTTCCTTTTCTTGATTTAGCGTGTTACGAAGAATTCACACCAACTAATAAAGTTGTTCCGTTCCATGTCACACGCATTCAACACAAATAAATCAAGACTCATGAATGATTTAGCTAACGCAGTTTCATTTTTTCCTTAAACTTTGGTGTCGAGTCGAACTATGTCAAACAAATTAAAACAGAGAGAGTCGTAATTAGTAGTAAATATAATAGGATAAATCAGCAAAAGGATTGAGGATGTACCGAAAAGAGAACGCCAAAAGCCCACATATACTGAACAAAGAATCCAAAACCATCCCATTGAGGACCTTCCCAAAAGTCAGTCTCTAGTCCAGGAAGCTGTGGCATCACAAACCCATCATCCATGGCCGCAGTTGCACCCCCATCTTCACTACCAATAGCAATATTAACCTTGACAAAATCTTCATCTTCTTTTACTGGTTCTTTCGTTGAAATTGAACTTCTCTTGTTTTTCCCTGAAGTGAACTTCTTTGCAGCTAACACAGTGAATTGACTACTTCTTCTCCCCTGAGACCAAGATGTTGTTGAAGAAGAAGATGGAAGTAAGAATGGACGGCGAAAAGGGAGTTGGGTGTACGGTATTTTTGTCGAGCTGTTGCAGAGAATTCGGTCTCCTGTGAGAGCCATTGTTGTGGCTGATAACAAGTGTGTGGACGAGACAGAGATGATAAACTACTACTTTTCGATCCCAAATGCAAACCGGTTCATTTTCCGTTAAGATCCGGTTCGGATATGAGATTTTTTCCTCCCATAAAAAAATCATTAAAGAAGACAGACGTAGCTTATTAGCCACTGGTTCCTATTTTTCACATGAAATATAAGTAAAAATTAATATTTCATTCGTTTTAATTTATATGGACTTATTTCGCCCGATAGAATAAATTTAAATAAATTAAAACGGAGGGAGTATTCAATATTAACGGATATTATATTTTGAATTAATAATTTAAATAATATAATAAATTTAATATTAAGAAATAAGAACTTTAAAGAATAAATCACAATTTTAAATTCATCAAGAACATAGATTAGTATGTAAAACATTAGAATTAAATTTTAACAATAGAATATTTTAATTCCATAATTTTAAAAAATACAAAAAGCTAAAAAGGATTCGATTTATTTAGTAATGAACAAAACAAATAGGATTGATTATGTATCATAATTTCATCACTACATCCAAGATTTTTTTGTAAATATATTGATAAGATAGCTTAGTATCCAAACATAAATAATTATAATCCTTCTTGTGTACATAAGAAATTGGGTGGGTATAAAATAACAAAAAGGGTTTCCTCGATCATAAAATAAAAAAGAAAAAGAAAAAATAGACAGGAACAGTTTGATTCTTTAAACAAGCAGGTTTGGCTTTAAGAAAATTTAAAAGTTAAGCAGATCAAGTTTAAATTATAGATCAGCCTTATGTTAATAAATTTAATATTTATGCCAAAATAGTTTTTGAATAAATTCAATATCTACAACAGTCAAAGATATTTTCTGAATAACTATTGATAAATCTAATATTTATATTAGTTAAGAACACTTTAATTAATTTATCACTTATATATTGCTGTAAGCATTTAAATTTTGTCGGATTTAAATTCATAAAATAATTTGGATCATATTAAATTCAAGACATTAGTGCAAACAAATATTGTGGCTAATACAATTGGATTATTTATGTAACGATCCGATCGGTCGTTTTGAGCTCTAGCACGTCATTCAACGGTTTGAGACCCTGAGAAGTTTCACTTGAGGTATTATGACTTGTATGCGTGGTCGGAATTTAATTTCGAGAAGTTCGAAGTTGATTTAGAAAGAAAATTCTAATTTCGGAAGCTTTAAGTTGGAGGAATTGACTAAAGGGTGATTTTGGAGTAAACGACCTCGGAATCGGGATTTGAAGATTCCAACAGGTTCATATGATAATTTTGGACTTGGACGTATGTCCGAATCGGGTTTTGGATGATCCGGGAACGTTTCAGCGCCTATTGTGGAAGTTAGCATTTTGGAAGGATTTCATAAATTTGGGTTGGACTGCATTTCAATGCTATCGATGTCCGTTTGGGATTTCTGAGTTGGGGAATAGCTCCGTATGGTGATTCTGGTATTGGGAGCGCGCCCCGATGTGAATTTGGAGGTCTGTAGATCATTTCGGGGTCATTTAGCGAAAGTTAGAACTTTGAACGTTTTTGAGAAGTTTGACCGGAAGTGGACTTTTTAATTTCGGGGTCAGATTCCGATTTCGGGAGTTGGAATAGGTCCGTAATGTCAACTATGACTTGTGCGCAAAATTTGAGGTCAATCGGACGTGATTTGATAAGTTTCGGCATCGATTGTAGAAGTTGAAGTTTCAAAGTTCACTAAACTTGAATTAGGGTGCGATTCATGAATTCGACGTTGTTTGATGTGATTTAAGGCCTCGAGCAAGTTCGTGTTATGTTTTTAGACTTGTGTGGGTGTTTGGTTTGGAGCCCCGGGGGCTCGGGTGAGTTTCGGAGTAGCTTCGGAGTGTTTTGTAAAGAAGTTGGATTGCTGGTTCTGGTATGATCGCATTTGCGATGTAATGGTCGCAAATGCGAACATCGCATTTGCGAGGTGGGGTTTGCATTTGCGAAGGGTGGGAATTTTCTGAGGGGTTCACATTTGCGAACAATTTGTCGCTTTTACGGATCTGTCCCCTTCGCATTTGCGAAGATCTTGGTCGGAAATGCGACCTGGGCAGGGGCAGCTTGGCTTCGCATTTGCGATGCATTTGTCGCAAATGCGACCATAGCATTTGCGAGATGCGACATCTGCGATTAGAGCCAAGGGCTTTTTATTCCGAGACTTAGCCCATTTCCCTTATTTCCCACTTGGACTTGGGCGATTTTTGAGAGCATTTTGAGAGGGGGTTCCATCATCATCAAGAGGTAAGTGATTTCTTCTAGTTGTGAGTTAAATACAAGGTTTATATATGGATTTAAACATGGAAACTACTAGAAATTTGAGATTTTGAAGAAAACCCTAGAAATTAGTATTCTTGGATTTTGATCACGAATTTGGGCATGAAATTGAGAATAACTTATATATTTGAGTTCGTAGTGCTATGGGTAGCGTTTGTCTTCGAATATTTTCGGAATCCGGGCACGTGGGCCCGGGGGTTGCTTTATCGATTTTTCGAGCGGAGTTGGAAATTGTTATAAATTGATTAATTATGAGTATTAGAGTACATTTTGATTGGGTTGCATCTTAATTGACTAGTTTGGAGCGACGAGCATCGATTTGAGGTGTTAGAGAGGCTTTGGAGCCGGTTATGGAATTTCGGAGCAAGGTATGTCTCCTATCTAACTCCGTGAGGGGGAAATTACCCCTAGGTGTTGTATATTGATGTGTGCTACTTGTTGTGGGGGGCTACGTACGCGCGAGGTGACGAGAGCCCGTACGTAGCTACATTCATGTTATTGTTCGGGTAGACTTAGGTTCATATAATGCTATAGCTGTACTATTTGATCAGTCTCTTGCCTATTAAATTCCTCTGTTTTACATTACTACTTGAGACTAGACTTGCTATTATGGAGACTACACGAGTTTATGACTAGTCACCGAATAATTTTACTCCTCTTACGATATGTTTCCGTGGTATATATGTTTCATTGAAAGGTTTTTGTTACAAAAATTATAGCTCACACGTTTATTCGTGAGTGGGGTCAAGGACCCGTCAAAGCTTCTTATTCTAATGGGATCGGGCCGTTCGCCTTGGCAGGAATTTGTATTTCACTTCTTATGGGATCGGGCCGTTCGCCTCGGCAGGAATTTGTATTTCACTTCTTATGGGATCGGGCCGTTCGCCTCGGCAGGAATTTGTATTTCACTCTTATGGGATCAGGCCGTTCGCCTTGGCGGGTTAATTGATTTATCATATGGTTCGGGCCGTTCGACCCTCGACAGTGCACAGTTTTATTATTATGTTGGATCGGGCCGTACGCCTCGGTATTTCCTATATCACATTCCCATGGAATCGTGCGTAAAACCTTAGCAAGAAGCTAGTGTATCTGTAAATTCATTTGAATTATGGTAGCAACTTGATGAGTTTCACTATACCTATATATATGCTCCGGTTAAGGAGGAAATTTCTAATGAAGAGTTTGAGTTCCTCGTAAAGAGAGGGGATTTGTACCACGTGATCTATATTTGTCTATTTCACTTACTTACTCTGCCTCATATTTGCTACCTCTTTACTGTACCTTATGTTGTTAGACCACTAGTGAGTATCGATGTCGACCCCTCGTCACTACTTCTCTGGGGTTAGGCTAGATACTTACTGGGTACACGTTGCTTACGTAATCGTGCTACACTTACTGTACATTTTTGTGCAGGTACATATATGACTAGTGGCCTTATGATGAGCATAGGCGTGTATGCATACAGGGACTTACGTGAACTGCATTCCACATTACGACCCGCAGCCGGCAGAGTCTCCTTCAGAGTATTTATATTTCTCCTGTCCAAATTTGCATTCCGAACAGATGCTGTATTTTATTTTACATTCCTAGTTGATGCTCATGCACTTGTGACACCGGGTTTTGGGGTGACTATGAGTTATTTTGTATTGAAATTTATTAAAAATATTATCATTTACTCTGTAAACTTCATCTTCTACTGTTTAATAGAAGGAAAAATATGATTTCAAAATATTAAAACAAGAACCAAATTAAGTATTTAGTGTTGGCTTGCCTGACAGCGGTGTCCGGCGCCATCACGACCTTTAATGGATTTTGGGTCGTGACAACTTATTGGAATCTTAATACATTGGGCTAGTCCATTTAATTGGACTCCAAAAGACGAGCCCATCTTAGTAGCCCAATGTCCAAGTGGTTAGTAGCCCGTCTTAAGCCCAAGCTCATGCCACGTGTCAAGTGATGTGGCAATCCAAGCCAAATAAATAAACCAATGAAATCATGCCATGTGTCAAGAAAGGATGGCATACCAAGCCAAATCAACAACCAATAGAGTTGTGCCAAGTGTCTAGATGGTATTGGTCAGTTCAAACGGACCAATCAAATCGCAGAACCACACCACTCCCTACAACTATAAATAGAGGTCTTCATAAAGCTAGAAGACACCAGAAGTGATAACAAGAAGCAAGCAGAGAGCTTGTGATCAAACACCGTAGATTTCTCTACAAGCTACAAGTTCACGCACTCAAGCTACAAGTTCAAGTTCAAGTTCAAGTTCAAGATCAAGAACGAAGCCAAATCAAATACCAAGGCGTTCAAGATCAAATTACTTGTTCGTGATCGAAGCCAAATTCAAGCTCAAGAAAGAGATTCAAGACCAAGCTTTACAAGCCCCTGAATCAAAATTAAAATCAAGCTTATCAAGATAATTTGAATTCTTGAAGAATCATAGGAATACCATAGAGATTGTAACACTCATTATTTGCTGAAATCAAATACTACATTTGTTGCACAATTTTCCAGTCTTCATTATTTATTTTTCTTGACGCGAAAATTTGTTGTTACAAATTTCTGGCACGCCCAGTGGGACAATCTCTACCTCTCTCACCTCTTCAATTATCAAATTTCAAGAACACAGAAATGGCTCCTAAGAAAATCAACTTCAAACTTACTACTGCTAAGGCTACGGATTCCAAGTTTTCATCTGATGTGGAAAACTTGCTGGA